ATCTTCCTCATGGTATCTCTCTAACATCGGAGTCCTCATCCTCAGTGAAGTTGTTTTCCCAGTGTTGCAACACCTCTAGCTCCGGCAAATCGCCGATGAAGTCCGGTATCGACCCGTGAAGCTTGTTCCGGACAGATTCAGAAGGGTCCAGTTCTTGAGTTCAGCAAACGAACTTGGAATTTCGCCAGAAAACAAGTTGTTTGACAGATCCATAGATTTCAAGCTCTTCAAGTAACCCAGTTCCCTCGTTCACGATCCCGAAAACCCATTCACTTGTAGAAACAGAGTGTCTAAGTTCTGAAGCTTGGCAATCTCCGTCGGAATCTTGCCGGAGAGTCCACAGCTCGCTCCGTCCAATCTGCACCTGGGCTCTCTCTTCTCGGTGGTGCATGAAAACAAACAAGGCAGCATGTTTGGTTTTTCAGGGAGAAACACACGGCACACATGACATGCATTTAATCTCTCCCTCTCGGCAGACCAATGCACATGGGCACACACTCAACACACTGCCACATACACACACATGCACGACATCCTTCTCTCTCCCATCTGACCCACTCTCCAACCTATACTTTTTCTTTTTTATTACACTCATGTTTTCCACTCCACTTTCTTTTTTTTATTTATTTATATTTTACTCCATCTTTTAAAAAGAAATCGAAACATCAACTGCTTTGCACACCCATCATCTTACTTTTCTATTGTGGTAGGACTCGACCAAACAAATTTAAATCTCACATTTTTTTTTCTTTTTTTTTATTCCTTTCACATTCACACATTTCTCTTCAATTTTATTCACATACTTCTCTTCAAATTTATTTTCTTTTATTTTCAAACCAAAAACAAAAACAACAAAACCAAAAAAAAAAAAAAAAAAAAATTTCTTTAAAAAAGAAAGAAAATCCCCTTTGAAAAAAAGCCTAATAGCCCCTAAATCAATGGAATAAGGGGACAACCCCCCATAACAATTTTAAACCAAAAAAAAAAAAAAAAAAAAAAAAAAACACACACACACACACACAAACCAAAAACAAAAACAACACACACACATCCACAAGCAGGATTTTTCTTCTCTACTCTGCCGCCGGTCTCTTCTTCTTGCCTCCATCCTGGACGGCCCTTGACGGTGTTGCCTCCGTGTTTCCCGCGCCGCCGAGCACGTTCACTCCCCTCTGCTCCTCCACTGCAGCATATGGCGGACCTCCAAATCGGAACATAACAGTGGCCTTCTGCTTCAACTCTTTATTTTCTGTCTTTAGCACACTTATCTCTGCTCGCGCATCCTTATACATGCGTTGGAGCAGAGCCAGTTGGGCGGTTAACTGATGCACCTCATTTGTCCTACTTTGCAGCCGGTGCGACAAGTTTGTGACCGCAGTCATGGTCTCCACACATGACTTCAATGTATACTGATTGGCCTCCACATCCGATTGCACTGCCATTTTTTGCTCCACAGACCGCATCGGAAAGTTCAACGGCGCAAAACTAGAGGCGCGTGGTTGGGGTTCCAGGGCAACCACACCAGTTATCTCTCTTGTGGACTCGTTGAGGTCGGGAAAAAGAGTGAGCAGCCCACGGGAAGAGGAGGCCATGTTCTCGGTAGCTGGACGGGAAGAAGAGGCCATGTTTTGGGTTGCTGAGTGTTTCAGAGCAGGGTTGGTTACAAAGTGTTTCAAGATTTGCAGCTCTTCGAGACAAGCTCTCAGAAAACGAAGAGGTTTCAACTGGTTTGTTATGCTTCCCAGCCTCAGCCTCCGCTTCAGTTTATAAAGACCATGCCGAAGAGGCCAACACGCGCTCTGTCGATCACGTGTCTCGCCGCATGTCTGGCGCGCCTTTTGATGGCTCGCCGCTCAATGATTTCTGTCGGGCACGACTTTTGATGAAGTGGGCGCGCCTTTTGAGGGCGCGACTTTTGAGGGTGCGATATATATATCTATATATCTCTATATCTTTTGGGCTCCAACGGTCTGACACAACCACACAGTGTCTGCTACATCAGTCCGACATGACCCCGTAAACTGTCTTGATCCCCTTTATCACTCACTTTATTTCAACCTCAAATAGGTTTCTATCTTTACACCTATTTGAGGTTGAGGGGGGGTTATACATATATCATGGTGAGCATGGTTACACACCATGGGAACCACTCAAGCCACCCCATGGCGCACTCCCTAAGTCGCCCCCTTGGTGCACCACCACAATTGTTTTTACAATGGTCCGACATGACCTCGTAAACTGTCCCGACATTGATTCCGGTCAGCTTCTACAACGGTCCGACATGACCCCGTAAACTGTCCCGACATTGATTCCGGTTAGCTCCTACAACAGTCTGACACAACCATACAGTGTCTTCACCAACGGTTCGACACGACCATACAGTGTCTTCTATCCTATTTTCCTGTTTTGTTACTCTCTCCAAACTCAAGTTGGCTAGTACCTATCCTCCTTGAGTTTGAGGGGGGCTGTTAGTGTATGATTAGCTTTAGCATGCTAGTGTATGATTATGTCTGTTAGTGTATAGCTTTAGCTTTATATCATGTTAGTGTATAGCTTTAGCTTTATATCATGTTAGTGTATAGCTTTAGCTTTATATCATGTTAGTGTATAGCTTTAGCTTTATATCATGTTAGTGTATAGCTTTAGCTTTATATCATGTTAGTGTATAGCTTTAGCTTTATATCATGTTAGTGTATAGCTTTAGCTTTATATCATGTTAGTGTATAGCTTTAGCTTTATATTTTATAATGTACAATGCATCACACTGTCAGTGGGCATCCAATGCTCAAATTCTCTCTATAAAAGAGAGTACATTCCCCTTGTAAGAATTATTCAATACAACATTCAATACAACATTTCAATACACAATTCTTTCTCTTTCTTTATACATAAATCTTACATCTCAAATAGAATTTCAGTTGCCAAGAGTTAATGTTTGGGTTGATATGGGTTGCAAATAAGTAGAACAAAATGGACTTTTCAACAAACCAGGTTTTTAGATAAAAGTTGGTTCAGAACGCTATTTGTATTAGATACTCATTATGTCTAATATTAGGACGTTTGAAGCTTTATGGTAGGATTTTGTACTTACAATTATTTCTTTTTCCTCTTTTGTGCATCTGTGGTTATTGAATCATAGGATTTACAAGTTGCATGTAATTGAAGATTAAATAATATGAGACAAAGGAAACATAGTTTTTTTTTTTTTTTTTAACAGTTGCAGTTGAATCTTTGTCAGGAACAGAATTGAAGATTTTGAGTCATAATGTTTGTTTCCGAGAAGACTTGGAAATTCATAAGAGGATGACAGCTGTGGGTAGGGGTGAGCATGGTCCGGATTGGACCGGATTGAGGTAAAACCAAGATCAATCCATTATCTACGATTCTTGAAAAATTGGAACCAATCCAATCCATTTAAATCATGGAACCAATCCGAGCCAATCCATTTAAACACGGATGGGATCGGTTTCGGACCACGGATTCACATAATTAATTAACAAAAAAGTATATATAACACTTTAATTTCATAAAAACATAAATATAGCGCTATATTAGTTTCACAATAGCAACATGTTTTTCTATAATAGCGGCATACTGTTCTAGAATTTAAACAACCATAAGAAAACTAGTTTCACCATAAGTATTTAAACCATTACAAATTAAAACTAAAAACTAACAAATAAAAGTAATAAAAGAAGATATTATACGAGTTTAGGTTTGAGTTTAGGTTTTATATAGAATAATAGAAGATATTATGGGGGAGGATGTATAATAAAAATATGGATTATTTGTATACGGTCCGGATCGGTTCCAATCCGAAACCGTGGGGTTCAATCCGGAACCAATCCGTGGACTACGGATTTTTAATTCTTCAATCCGAAACCGAACAATGGATTCAAAAAACCAATCTAAACCTATCGGATTACGGATTTCACGGATTCCTTGCTCAGCCCTAGCTGTGGGCGACCTTATTCAGATGCATTCCCCTGATCTGATATGCTTCCAGGTTTTCCTCATTTCCATTTTTCATACCATGTAACATAAATACTAAAGCTTTTATGAATTTTCATTGTTTTTAAGTTCATTTTTCTCTACTTTCAAAATCTATGACATTTTTCAACAATCCAGCTGGTGAAAATTGTACCGTTGCTCAGTTTCAAGTGTGATGGCATATACAAAACCATCCTTCTGCATGCAGGTGAGATTGTTATGATTTTTCCATATCAGGGTTTATTTTTTAGTTCGGGTCAACTGCATTGATGCTGTAGCCATGTAGGCATTTGTCCAACACAAATCATTTCATACAAACTGGGTTATGATTTGACAGTATGATATGTTCTTACGTATCAAAGGCATCTTAGAATGTGTTTGTTGAACATGCTTGTACTGTTTAAGACATTGTCCAATTTGTTACAAATTGAACTTGCTTTTTGTGTTGTACACATCACCGATTTAAGTGTATTTGTTACCTAGCTGCTAAGGAAATTGACCCATCCCAGCAACTATATGCACCAAGCTTATCAATTATAAAAATATTAAGAATTGTTGAGTATGCATACCATGTGAAGTTGGCTTTGAAAGTCAAGAATAGAGGCTGCAGATTTGGGCTAGAGATCTTATGGAGTTTTTCAACCTAGTTGTCCTATTGTAGGGTGGCGGTGTTGATGGCTTGCCATTTATTTTGGTAGTTGGTTGTTGGTAGGCAAGTGTTAATTGTCAGCTCTCCCGTTTGTGCATAAATAGGGAGAGCACTGAGCTAAGTTTATATATCAAGAGAGTGAAGAAAAGAGAGTGGTAAGAAATGTATGTGAGCTGTGAGTTGAGTTGAGAGAGTGAGAGACTCCTCCTCCTCTGTTTTGTATTTGTTTTTGTTTATAGTAAAAGCTTTCTCTCTTTCTTTCCCGTGGACGTGGACGTAAACATAGGTATTGGGCTGAACCACGTAAATATTTGTATCTTATTTGTGTGTTAAAGTTTGTTGATTATTTCCTGGGTACAGAATGGATGCCCAAAATTTCCAAAATCTTCCTCTCTTTGAATATTACAAAATTCTTCATATTCTGACCAGTAACTTGTGATTCAACAAATTTGCAAGGCTGGTCATCTCTCTCTCTCGCTCTCTCTCTCTCTCTCTCTCATGGTTATACATCATTTGCCTCATTTTATTTATTTATTTATTAAAATCTCTGGATGAGTTTTTGTAGTTAATAGTGATGTAAGATCTGATGCCGTAACACCACATAACTTGCAGTTCAGTATACTACCAGTAAATTCATACAGTCGTAAACCATTCAGTAATTCCACAATGGATAGAGAACTTTGCGTCGCTGAGGTTGAAGTTCAGGCAGACATGCCATTGGTTGTTGCCACTAGCCATCTTAAAGGTCCTAGTCCTGGCCCTCGCAATTGGGATCAGTCGTTCAGCAAGGAACGTGTTGCTCAGGCAAAGGAAGCGTTGACCTTTCTTAAAAAAAATGTAAACGTGATTTTTTGGGGTGACATGAATTGGGATGACGATTTGGGTGGTCAATTTCCTTTGCTCGATGGATGGGTTGATGCCTGGGTACAGTTAAAACCAAGAGAAAATGGATGGACATATGATACCAAATCTAACAAGATGCTTAATGATGATTGGCCTGTGCAAAAGCGACTTGATCGATTTGTATGCAATTTGCGTGATTTCAAGATAAGAGGAATAGAAATGATTGGCATGGAGGCAATACCAGGTCTATCATATTGGAAGAAAGGGAAAAACAATGTGGACAAACGGCCCGTGTTTCCTAGTGATCATTATGGGTTGCTATTAACAATCTGTGCCAAGTAATGCTAGTTAAGTGGTCATATCTAAGCAGGCAAGCAGAGTGTTGATTGTGTTTTTGTGCTCTTCAATGGTATCATGCTTGATATGTACTTGTTTTTATAGATAATAGAGTGATATTAAGAGGGTTTATAACCTTTTGTGGAGAATTGTTTTCTATATTTTGTAAGAAACTACTTCTATGGAAAGCTGGATTGTTTTTTTAGTTTTTGGTCTGTCATCCCTAGCATCAAACTGAATGTATTATCTACATTTTGCTCATAAAATTTCAAAGAATTTCTTATTTTGGGTTGCCTCAAAATGTCAGCTTCTTGATTAGATAGAGGGGAATTGAATTTCAGAACACTTGACAATCACATGCCAGGGTGCAGGCTAGTTTTGAGAGACAATGTCTTTAGAAACTGTTGATATATAGAACACATTTAGATCACAAAAAATATTGAACAGTTCATTGAACTGAATTTTGATCATCTCATCAAGCTAGCCTTTTGAATTTAGAGGCGAAAACTGATAAAATCTTGGTGCTAACCTGCAGTCGTTTGTAATTTGTTGTTTGTACATGTCGAATGCTTAAGACAAATTGCAGTTAAAATCTTGAATCCAAGAACTGTACCTGAAGTTATCCATCCATGGACTCCACTGTCTTCATTGTCCATTGTGAATTTTGATACTTTCATTGACCTGAACTAATCCAATCCACATACCAGGCAGGCAAGTTCCCTGTTAGTTTGTGGAACTTGTTGGAAATTAAGCTTTTAATACATCCATGTTTATACACACAGTAATGTCATATTACACATTTTGGATAAAACTCGCTTTGCTTATGAGATATGGATTTATAGGGTTTATGAGTGAAACTGATGCAGGTACAATTAGCTGTTTGATTCTACCTGGGAGTAGATCCTCTGGAATTTGCATTACCATTTGCTTTTCATCCGTAATTACCGTACGGTGGAACATGCTTCAGTATTTTGGTGTCAATAAACATTTAAAATTCTAAATAAGTTATGAAAATCACTTGAGACTCTTATTTTTACGCTGACAAAAAGGTTTTAAGTCACAATGTTTGACCTCAAATACGAACTCTTAGGAATTCTGAATTTGCTATGATTATTTGCAAATGTTTTTCCGAATTGGTTCTTAAGAAACCATCAATAAACTTAAAAATCTCTGTCAACGGGTATCGCAACTAGAAATCACTTAAATAGGAAGTATGGAATCACATCTCAAAGCAGATTTGGCTTGCGATGTTCCAAAAACTCCATATATGATGTGATGAGAGAGGGAGAGAGAGATTTTCTTCTCTATTCTAGGTAATCAAGGCATTCTTCTTGATAACATAAATGGATTTCCTCCTCTGTTTTTACAGCACAGGGAAGATGATTAGTTGGAGGGGGTGAGGTATTGAAGAGCTTTGGTTAAAGGTTTTGTTGGTTACTTGTATGAGCATTAGAAGAAGCATTGGCAACCAAATTCTATATTCTCTATCATGTCTTACATTTACAATTTATTAGTTTAAACATGTTTTTGTAATTCTTGTTTGAGTCACCCATAAGGTTTTAAAAAGCGGCTGCAACCGTTACATAACGGTTTTGGTGGTTACCACCACCCGTTATGGCCGCTTTTGCAGTGTGATTGAGATTCATAGGTGTGTCGGCCGTAGCGGTCGTAATGGTGCCATAACAACCGTAATGGCCTGTTACGCACCGTTACGTAATGTAACGCCCTCAAAAATAAACCCATCATAGCATACATTCACAATAAGTAAAAGAGTTCTCATATTATAACCAGCAGAGTATTCTTACAAAATGTATTACATGTTGACAACAAAAGTAAATGTCCTATAGGCTTACAACTTTCCAAGTCAACACTTGGTTACAAAACGAGAGTACTAACTCTACACAAAAGAAGCCATTGGCTTGATATACATGTAATACAAAAATGTAATCACAAAAGATGTCCTAGCCACTAAGCCTCTCAAGCTACGTCCTTGGAGGTGGCATGCTACCTGTACCTGAAAATGATGTCCCATATAGGGTGAGCCAACGCCCAGTAGAGATATGCTAAACATAATATGAGCAATAACTAAAACATTAGCACTTGATAAATGTTCAACTTAACAAAACTCAACTTATAAACATGGCTCAGAACCTGGCCAAATAACTGAAGTGAGACTACATCTCATGCTAACAATACTACAAACTGCCATTTTACGGAAATTGCGTCCGCGGGATTCGGCACTCATGTATTTTCATTCTCTTATGGCCATTTTACGGACATTTCATCTGCGGGACTCGGCACCCATGTATAGATATATTCGGATTGTCGTTTTACGGAAATTGCGTCTGCGGGATTCGACACCCATGTATAATTATATTCAAATGGCCATTTTACGAAAATTTCATCCGCAGGATTCGGCACCCATGTATTCAAATACACAACTTGATTAGTTTTAATTCACCTAATCATCATGCAATGTCTACAACAACCAAGACTATCCTCCACCGATAGCCCAAAGCAGTTATTTCTAAATAGCTAATAAATGCCTCCACAGATATATAATTGACATTTTCAAAAGTGAGCGGTTTATAAATCCAACTCCACCATTCTATCTCATAAGGAGCAAATTTCATTATCCCCAACTCAATTTCATAACAAATGTCATTAATTACACTAATGACCCAAATATATCCAAATATGACATTTTTCCCTTTAAACTCAATATTGACCCAAAGGTCCAAATATTACAGACAACATCAATAATCTCTTTTTAAGACCCCAAATATATATATATATATATATATATGAGTCAAAAAGACAAAACCCCTCTTTTCAATATAATACATTACAAACCCTAACTTCCCAAACCAAACTATTTATACAAAAGCTCTACATTTAGGTTAAAGATCATAAAGATGAGTAGGAATCCCTACCTCAAGAGATGAAACCCAAAAGAAATGATGAAGAACTCGAAAATGCTCCAAATCCCAAGATTCTCGGATCAAAATATAGCCATCAACGATCAACACACTTTTTACAAAGGCCCAAGGGTAGAAAATCACTCCTACTAGATCAATCCTAAGAGAGAATGAAGAAAGTAGTGAGAGAAGCTCTCAAAAATGGCTTTTCGGAAAAGTAAGAGAGAGAGAGGAAGTTGAAAAGTGATCTAAAAAGACCCAGTTGATATCTGATATACGTATGACCTGCTCAAGCAGAGAATAGGACGCTCGAGCGTCAGACACAAAAACTGGACCCGCTCGAGCGTAAAGATTCCCGCTCGAGCACCAAGACACAACTGAAAAATACACCCGCTCGAGCGCAAAGGAAAAGCCGCTCGAGTGTAGATTCCCCCCTTCCAGAACTTTTACAGACAATGAACAACCCGCTCGAGCGCCAAGACACCCGCTCGAGCGTAAGGAAATCCGCTCGAGCGTGAAAAACACATCTACAGAAGTTTTGCAGAGGCACGAAATGCTAAGAGTGTGTAAACTCCGCTCAAGCGCAATAAGGCCCGCTCGAGCGGACAACCAAAAATCAAACTCCGCTCGAGCGCAAAGGGACCCGCTCGAGCATACCACCAAAAATCTGGGCAACAAGGAATGGGACTAAAGCTCAACCAACCTGTTCGAAACACGCCCAATACATCCTAAAACTCAAACACACGGAATTAAAGGATAACAACAAGATATACAACCACCAACTCCACGGAACCTAAGTCCGAAATACAACAATCAAATGAAGAGAAACCGGGATCGCTATACGTAATGGTTTCGAATTGTTTCTTTTGAAAACACACACACAAAAAAAGCTCAAAATGGGGGGAAGAGGGATAGAGAGAAGAGGGAAAATAAAGGGAAAAGATAGAGGAGCAAGAGATATAGAGAGAGAAGATGAAGAACATGTTATTGATTTGTTGAAGCTGTAAGACCTATATTATTCTATTCAGCTGTTATCACTTAACAATTTTGTTTGTGTGCGTCTATCTATATATTGTTTGATAATAATAATAATAATAATAATAATAATAATAATAATAATAATAATAATAATAATAATAATAATAATAAGAATAATAATAATAATAATAATAATAATAATAATAATAATAATAATAATAATAATAATAATAATAATAATAATAATAATAATAATAATAATAATAATAATAATAATAATAATAATAATAATAATAATAATAATAATAATAATAATAATAATAATAATAATAATAATAATAATAATAATAATAATAATAATAATAATAATAATAATAATAATAATAATAATAATAATAATAATAATAATAATAATAATAATAATAATAATAATAATAATAATAATAATAATAATAATAATAATAATAATAATAATAATAATAATAATAATAATAATAATAATAATAATAATAATAATAATAATAATAATAATAATAATAATAATAATAATAATAATAATAATAATAATAATAATAATAATAATAATAATAATAATAATAATAATAATAATAATAATAATAATAATAATAATAATAATAATAATAATAATAATAATAATAATAATAATAATAATAATAATAATAATAATAATAATAATAATAATAATAATAATAATAATAATAATAATAATAATAATAATAATAATAATAATAATAATAATAATAATAATAATAATAATAATAATAATAATAATAATAATAATAATAATAATAATAATAATAATAATAATAATAAAGATGACATGATCGAGAATAAATTAAAAATTGACTTTTGACCTGCTATTCCAAAAGAGGCCTAAAGCGGCTTTGTAATGGGTTAGCATCTCCATTGGATGTATGATCGGTAAATTCTTATTTTTACTTTTGTTTCAAATGGGTTAGTTATGTGTTATTTAGTTGGGGATGTTTTGAGAATTAGTTATTTTAATTTTTTATAAAAATATATGTAAAAAGAAAAAAAAATTGAATTTTTAATAATATCTTTTTATTTTTTGGCTAAAAAAACTAATTCCTAATCTTGTCTTTTAATGTGTTGGCTAATATGTGCCGTTTTGGGAAGGGCCATAAAAAGCCACGTTTTTTTATCATTTTCAAAAAACGCAAGTGGCCAAAAACGCAACAAATTTGGTTTGGAAAGGGCCAAAAACGCAGGTGTGAAATTACAAATTAGGCCCTATGACAAAAAAATAAAAATAAATAAATATCCTCATAGGTCTCATGAATGATTTTGAGGAAAGATCAAAGTTTGGCTTAATATGTCAATGTTTAGGACACCAAGA